CAGAGTATGCATGAGGTTTGAAGTCGAAGTCGGGCTTGACTGGATTAGAGAGTGTGAGCAACATGAAGGAAGGTGGAGCCGATGCAGAGGATATGGTGAGAGCAGTCCGGCATTGAAATGAGTCGCTTTGGGTGGCGCCAGAAATTTTAAGTTCCGGAAGGAGAAGGAATGGTGTACATACTTATTTCGCCAGGAGCATGTTCACTAGAAGCACTGTCCACATGACCCAAGATGAGATCAGTAGCCGTTGCCTCAGAGCCTAGGCTTAATATGTCCCCTGGTCCGGGAACCTCGATCTGATTCGTGATTATGACAGGGCCACAGGGAAAGAGAGGGGAGGGTAACGGGCAAAGCTCGATGCAAAGAAGATCAAGCCCCCCCCCGTAAATGGTCGCGTGGGCTGGCGCGGTCGATCCGGTCCAGATTAGAGACAGACGAAGGAAAGTGCGCAGCGGTGGGGAATGGCGTGCAAGAAGGGAAGAGGACCGACTGGAGTCGGGCCAACCGACGGCAATGACGGCGCCAGAGGCTTGAGAGCAGCACAGAGAAACGGCACGCCGTACGTCAAGGAAAGCCGATGTGTGGCGTTCTGCAGGTGATGGAGGGTAGGGGACTTAGCAAGGATATGCATGGAAAGAAATGGTTGTCAGCGAATGCACTGTTGCTGGAACTGCAGTGCGCGTACTTTTAGTCCCACCATGCAACACGCCTGAAAAAGGCCTCCATTTTGATGCAAACTCTGGTAGTGGTTCCCACATGTGGCGCTGGAATTCGCCGCAGGAACATGTCCCGCTGCCAGCCAAGCATACCACATACTCAGCTCAGCACCAGACAGTGGTAGTTGGACATTATGTACTCGTACATCCGACTCTCGCTAGACACACTGGCCTGGCATAGCGGCTACCGTGACTCTGGCCCCAGTCTTTTACCCTGGTCTCATCCGTGGCCAGGTAGTATAAGAGCAATACGATACACGGTTCCTTCTATCTACGTACACACACATAGACATGGACACGACGTGTCTCTGCTTTGCGCTGTGTACGACAGAACGCGAGCCCTGGAAAGTTGCAACATAGTAGACCTATCTATACGTGGTACTGGGAACGCCCCAAACCTGGCTCTTTGTGCAAAGCGGCTCTATTCTTTTTGTCGAGTGTCGAGGTTCGATTGTTTGACGTCGCGCCCACTTGAAATGGCATGCCGTGCGAATTAGGTAGTTTGGCGTGCCACTCTGATCTGGAACACGTCCATCGCTACTTCATTCATGGCACATGCATCTGTGGGCGCCGCGGCTCAAGGATTATAATGTGGACTGACTGGCGCGGCCTTTGCAGTCTGAGCCGTGCGCTAACACCAGCCAGCAGGGTCAACGTCCGGGAGGAAGCGAGCGCAAGATTACCGCTGCAGAGGTTGCTGTGGCCTGGCTCCTTCCAAAGCTGCCCACATGGCATGATGAGGAAATGAAGGGTCATCTCCGTCGTCACGTCTTCAGCCAGATAATAGCCCGAAGGGGAAGCGTAAAATGAGGGCTTCGTGTTTAAAAGAGCCTCCGTGCATGGGCACGAAACCTTGGAATTGGTGGAAGCATAGTATCCTGTGGCCCAGCTGCAGTACCCGTTCCGAGCTTAGTGTAATGCCCGAACAAGTATACAGATACCGTCGTAGCGTCAACGGCTGAGCACAGTTTGATGACTAGCACAGACAAAAGTGGTACGGAAAAAGGCGCCGGCCTGAACCTGTCAGTCTTGGAGTGACCCCTCCGGATCGACAAAGCCCGACAATCATTATGGCCCAATCGATAAGGATGGTGATCATGCGCTCCGACACGCGATCCAGGATCTAGGGTAGGGTGTCAAAGTGTACACCTACCTGGAGCTGGACTTGGGTGGATGAAGCAAAAATGGGGGTCTTTGCGCTTGTGCGCGCCCCTCCGTTCCGGTAGGTGGAGTTGACTACTTAGAATAGCGGAACACCAGCAGCACTGACGGCGAGTTCCCACTATAGCACGTAATAAGGTCGCAGATGACAGCTTGCAAGCCACGATGGACAAAGGGACGGGTCAACAGATGCGGCGTTGCGCAATGCCCGGGCGCCTGGCACCAGCTCGAACGATCGCCTCGAGACGTAAATTTCCGCGTCGGCGCTGAGACTATGCTTATTCGGGTCATGCAGCGGATCTACGTGAAACTCGCGGCGCACCGGATCTGTACGAAGGATCTTTGAGTATGATTTCCGGCGACGGCTGGCTAGTCTCCCAACCAATCACCCGCAATCTGCCCTGGTGATTATCATCATAACAGTCGAAATGGGGACACCATGGCGAAATTGCTCGTGACTGTACTGCGTAAGCAGAAATGACAGTGGAGAGCAGTCTCTGTAGTCTAGATCGAACCGACAATTTCTCGACCAGGACGCTACCATATGGGTAGAGTAGAGCTGTTTTCAGTAAATCATCCTAGATGACGACCTGTCTGTGTCTAAGTATCAACACACCCACGTGTGAACCCGGCCAAAGGGCAAGTTTCAGAGAGTGCACGGGAGAGATCCGGTAGAACCGCGGGGCGAAAGATGGCAGTCATGGCTCTGACAGCTGTCTCGTACCGAGCCCGTATTTGTGACGTGTATCAATGTGCTTGAAGACGACTTTAGAAGTCCCCAAAGAAGGGGGGGAGGCAATTCACCGATAAAGAAGACGACCATCTGCCGACAAGGCAACCCGAAAGGCGATTGATGCTGCTGCTGCAGATGCTGCGACATAAATGCCAATCAGGCCGGAAAGGTGTGAGCAAGCAATTGGCTTGCAGTGGCATGTTGTTTTGTTTTGTTCGAGGCAAGAACAGAATGTTAGTGTGTACACTACTCGTACTCTCTCTCACTTAGCAAGGCATCGGGGGTCGGAAACAAGGGATGCCGCGAAAAGCTGCCGCTGCTGCTACGGCATCCATGGGTAACGTGCAGGGTGAGGCGGACATTGGGGGAATAGATGCTGTGCAGTGCACGTAAGCTGCAACTCAGACGTCGATCATTCGTCTCCCGCATCTGAGAACCGTGTCGCTGGCCACCCCAGTCAGATCGATTAGCGTATCCAGATGTGAAGGAGCTTACACGGGCCGGCTAGTCTTTGGCCGCATAGGCTCCGAAGCTGCTAGGTGTACTTACTCTTGCACTGCTGGCCGTCGCTTGGCCTTCCCTATTCCTCACCTCACCTAGCAAGGGACGTACTGTAGTGCAGTTGCGGGACGGCTGTTGCACCCCCTCCCCCCCTCATCCGCGTCTACCTGGTTCGCTTCTAAATTGAGCCAAGGCGCGCTGATCTTTGCTTCACCTCTGAGAAAATCAGACCACAGATCAGCGTCGGCGTGTTCTGAAGTTGCATCTTGACCGGCTCTGGTATCCATGAACGAAAGCGAGGCGCAGCTTTTTGCCAGTTGTGCTCGGAGTAGCCGATACAGCGATGCTCGTTGTCGATGCGGCCACGCAGTTGGCACCGGAAAACAGTGGTTGGGGAGCTGGGAGGCAAGGTTGGGCGCAGTCGGTGGGGAGGCGAAGCAGTTCATCGGGAAAGTACTAGCGGCGGTTTGCCACCCAAGTCGACCTGGGCATCCCTGATTGCCTATTTGGGCGCATTTCCACCTTTCCCCGTCGCCTGTCGTCATTGTTGCCGGCACCGCATTCCCAACACTCTGCCGCTCCGGTTGCACATGCCTCGACGGCGTGCCGAAAGGTTGTGCGAGTTGGAGTTGGAGTAACTAGGAGTAAACAAAGTCTACTGCCATGTAGTAAGTATTGCCTCATCTTCTTTCACCCGCCATGCCCATGCCCACCACCCAACCCGCACCTCTTACTCCTTGTGGCTTGACACACACACACATCCCCAAACCCTCGCTCGTTGGCGCATCTACTACGTCCTCGACGCTCTCAATTGCCGCACGTATCAACCACCTTCCCTTGACCACCCCCTTTGATATGCCTCATTAGTCAAACGCTACTCTCACACGTTCTCTCGCGTACTCGCTTCGATCCGCCTCCCCTGGCAGCGTTGCCGGAGGTACTGCCCCTCTTATCTCTAGCTCAAAACTCTACTCTCCTGAGCCAAGCAATTACTCCAAACATTCAGCCCAAACAGCTTCAGTCCTCTTATTGCACTTTCTTCCTATCGGTCAATCTCCCGATCCATGTGTTGACAATATTTAATACGTCAATTATCAATAAGCCACTAACCCCCGTTTGCTCTCAATCAAGAAATATTGCCTTCCATAATCGTTACCAATTAGTGCCTTTTCACCAGCATCACCATGTTCAACGTGCATAGCGTAATCAATTAGTTATGTATTATTTGGCTGCGTGCGGAGCCTAGATTATATTGGGTATACATGAATATATGCAAAAAAAATGCAATGCCTTCCCGATGCCGTTTGTAGAAAGAACGCCGTCTCTGGTATATTGATAGGAATACGTGAACAGACCCGGAAAAGAAGGAACAAAAAAGAAAAAAAATAAGAGGTATCTCGATCAGTAATCGTTGCAGCCGTGCGCCCAACACCGAAGCCCTGCTCAAAAGGGGAAAGGCCTGGGAAAACGCTTTCCCAGAATCATCCATGTCTAGACCGTGACCCGACGGTGGGCAACTGAGGCATCCTTGATACCAGTAGAGTGGCAGCCTCGTTCGGGCGGCACCGCTAAAAGACGCCCAAAAGGCAAACAGGAAGTGATGTGTCGCGGCTAAAGTGGGCGGCATCCCACTAAAAAAGCAAAAGGTATCTCATGTTGCAAAAACCTTGGAAAACGTAAAACGTGCCAGCCACGTTGAGATTTGCGCGCCACCGATCCTAAGAGATCGACCCGGTAGCTTCTGGAAAAGGCCATGGAAGGGCGAGGGCGAGGGTTCAACAGGAAGCATTTCTATCTTCGGTGGTGCACCATCACACCCTTCAAAGCGCAATGCGCCCGCAGAGCCTGAGGTTGGCGCTTCCGTCGCATTCAACTTGGAACCGCCTACGTCAGGCATTGGCTCGCTTCTTCCTCATCTTGTATTCTGCCTTGGCTACCCGCATCAGTAGATCCTCGTCTTTAATCGGGATCCATGATGTCAGGACCTTCATGGCATTCTCAAAGTCCGAATCAAGCAGGATTTCTCGTGTTGCATCGATGAGTGCAGCTGATGTAGCATGCAAGACATCCATATCTGCGCTGAACTTGGATCCCGGTGTAGTAGCGTGCGACTTGTCACCCAACAGCATGAATACGTCCCAAACGCGGAGTTGTGCTGGAAATGGTAACGAGTAATTGAATAAAGTGAGGTACCATCGTGTGCCGTATGCGGTTGATGTGATGCCCAGGTCTGTCTGTGAAATATTGTGTAAGCTGATATGCCATGATTTTGGGTTGTGGAACTCGACTTACAAGCTTCTGCGCAATGTCACCTCCGCGCAGCCAGTTGAGCTCAAAATCTTCAAGAGCCTCCATGAGGCCTTCAAATCCTGCCTCATAGAGCCTCTCCATGCCTCGAAGCTGCCACAATCGGACGAGCATCACAAATGCCCGGTCCTCTTCATAATAGCACAGAAGCGTGGCCGCCAAAGAGGCCATACCTTGAACATAACCCGTTTCGGGCAAATACAATGACATTGCGTGAAGTACACGAAAAAGTAGTCGCTGCCCACCACGATATCGGCGTCGGAACATGATGTGTCTGTTGATGGTGCGTGGGACATCAACATCGATCTGGACATCGTCTGCGGAACTCTCTTCTTGAAGCTCATAAAAGTTGACAATAAGTTCTTCCTCAGTTGGACTGTCGGCATCCGCGTTGGCGCTTGCAGCCAGGAAGGAGTACCATGCAGTCGCTCTCCAGCGATCCGGAATACCTTTCCACGTGCGAGATATGACTTTTGGGTCTTTGGTCTCGAACTCGAAAAGCATGCCCCCCTTGTCTGCGCCTGCTTTGACAACCTTTGCCATCTTTCGCCATTTTTCATTCCGCTCGATTTCTTTTGCCTTCATAGCTCGGGCAGCCCTACCGCCCTCCTTCTGTTCGGCAACCTCAGCCAAGCCTGGCGGTAGTTTGAGCATGTCGCTCGCTTCGTCTCTCAATCGGCGGTCGCGGTTGTGAGGTAGTTTGTTCGCCGCATGGCGCAAAGGCTGGAAGGTCGTACGGGAATCCGATGTCTTTCCAGAGAAGATAGATCTAGCAGGCCTGGAAGACCTGCCGGAAAATCTTCGTTTGAGCGAGCCGGCTCGAGGACCGCCAGACTTTGTGGAAGGCGCGCGTGAGACACTCCGGCCCAATCGGCGACGTCTAGGCTCTTCAGACAACAACTGCAGTGTCGTGGTGACTCGTTGCATGTGCGGTTCGTCGGGACCGTCTATGCCTTCGCTGTTGGATTTCGATCTCGTCCTCTTGGGGATAATGAAGCCATATCGATCAACCTCGCCGCCTTCAAGATCAGCCCAGTCCTCCAGCCCACCAGCAGCCTCAGTGGGCTCCTTGACAATGACGCTGCCGCGCCTCGAGCTCATAAGGGAGCTATCGTCCTCGATAACTTCCATGGCCATGTTGTTGACACTGCTATTACCACGATAACTGTTCTGAATGCTCCTGCTGTCTTCCTCTGGCGCATCCCAGTTGACGGCGCTCTCGTTTCCGTGCATGTACATGCAGCGCACCTTGCGCGACAAGGTCATCTCATCAGCGGAAAGAACACGGTGGCTTATGGATCGCGATCTACCGGAAACACGAGAGGTTGCTCGTGGGGAGAGGAGTCTCGCGGTGGGGGGTGGGGGTTGCGGGGATTCCTGTTGCATTTGGTCGGAGGTGGGTTGTGGTTGCTCTTGAGACTCTCGCTGTGTTTGCTCTCGTAATTCTGCCTGCTCCTCCTCCTCTTTCGTCTCTTTCACCACCTCCTCTTCCGGTCGCGGCGGCGCACTCGGTGTGGGCGCGCCTTCCACAAGCAAATCCATCTGTCTACTCTTCCTGTTTGCCCTTTTGCCACCCAACATCATGCTGCCCCGCTTCGAAAAAGATATCAGCGCATCCGAGGAAATGTCGTCAAAGCCGCCAGTGGGTATGATGCAATCAAGCCGGGAAAAAGCAGCGTCGTCTTCGTCGTGTGCATGTTCTGTCCTGGATGAGCGCTCGTCGTGAATCACAATGGCAGGCAGGCTTGGCGTCCTGCGCAGACTCCTTGGTGAAGGCGGTTCGTTGACGATGGTACCGCTGGACGAGGCCAGGGCCGAATCTCTGCGATCGTCATCGTCTGCGTGTGGCGGCGTGCGCTTCAAAGAAAATGCGCGGGGTCCTGGCGAAGTGCGTGGTCGGCGGACATTGGCAAGCCATGAGCGCGACGCCGTGCCTTTTACTGAGAGTGCACTTTGGGGATTCGGGAGTACAGGCGCGAGCGGATTCGAGGCCTCATACGGCTCCACGGCCGCCGCGTGGCCAGAGGGGTTCACGGCCTCATCGCTCATGATGTACGACGCGGGTCCTGGTCATGGAATCTGTCCCTGGCAAAAATAGTGGCGGGAAAAGCGAAATGAAGGGGTGCGGTCGATACAACCCCCTGCGACAATATATCCAAAATATGTCCAGCGGCGAGGGTGTCAGAGTTGCGATTTGGACAGTGCAGCGGCTCCAGTGCGGTGGGAGGGGAAAAACGCGGCAGTGCAATTGAAAAACAGAAAAACGTCTGCGCCAATCTACTGCATCAGACGAGACCCTGGCTTGGTACTTACACTGGGGAAAAGGGGCGTCGCTATCCGCCCGGGTCGTGGGTCGGTCGTGGGTCGTGGGTCGTGGGTCGCATGCCTTCTCCAGACTTGCTGCCGGTCGGAGATTGCCAAAGGCGCCGCTTTCGTGTGACGCCTGTTCACAGCACCGCCGCGGGCTGTACTTGCCCAGACGTGGCTATGGCATACTTGCTTTTTCGCATCCTAGGCAGCATCCTCCGTATTACACTCTCACGCGTTGTCGAATCGTTCTTCTTCGTTGATGCTTTGCACGTCCAGACGACACTTGCCACTACCAGAAAGCTCAAACATTTCGCTTCCCAATTACGGCCCCCCGTGACGATCGCTGACCCACGTGTCAATAAGCTCCTGGTCCTGGCTCCCTTCTCAATATTACTCTGTACTATCAATTTCCATTGTTACTCCTTCAGCTCAATTGCTGTCGTATCATCTGTTGTACCATGGATACTTTATTAGAGCAAGGTCTTGGTTACAGAAATGGCTGCATCGAGAGGCTCTCTCGCAACACCAGAGTTGCACATGCAATAAGCCAGAAGTTTATGTCCTGCTTACTTCATGTTCGCAGGGGTCAGCTTACTCCTGCAGCTTTTTTTTAGGCATGAGATGCTCGTCTCCACTCATGCCCAATTTTCCGTTGGCTATGCAACCCATTCGCGGCCTCGTGGATTCCACAAGTCCTACGGCGTACTACACGTGTGCATGATTGTGAAAGGGGGAACATTCAGCTCGTATGTACTGGGCAATCCATCGACTAAGAAGACATATACTGCCAATCATTATTATCTAGCGTCGACCGGAACCAGAACCATACAATGCTGTAACCCGCTCTTGCAATGAGCACCTCGCACAAGTCGAACTAAAACAGTAGTCATCGGAGTCCTTGATGATCCCAAGAGTCTGGCTAACGGATTGCCATATTCTTCAACATAACAAAGCACATTGGTGCGAGACCCTCCAATGCACGGAGTAAAGTCTTATCTAAAAAAGAAGAAAAAGTCCACCCACCACCTTAAACGCTACCCCAAACAAGGTCAATCCTAGAGAAACACGACAATCCAAAACACATCCAGCGTCTCGATGACGCAATCCCCTAGTCATACAAGTCGCACTATTCCAGTCCGCTCCCTTTTTCCCCGCAAGCCCTACGCACGTAAGGCCACTAGACCCCCGAACTTAGCAACCCTTATTTTTTTTAAAAAAAAACCACGTGTTCCAAAACCTTCCATGGGAAAGTGAGCTATTAATTCTGCCTGCGTATGCATATGTCACATATGCACATCGCCGAGACTACTCGGTATCCCGAAACAGCCCTACGCACGGGAATGTAACAAGGATCTACCCCTTCCCTATAACACGACGATGAATATCGTAAGCCACGTGAGCGGAGTGTGGCGGGGGGAGGGGTGGGAGGAGATCTAGATTGTAGCTTAATTGAAGACAAGTGCAAGCACGAAAGCTTAATTAGAGGGCGTTTTGGTTATTCAGGGCTAGCTTGGGGTTAACGTGCCGTCTGTCATGGTGGTTAGATGAAGAAAAGGAAATGATCAGAGGCGTTTTGTTGTCGATCAAAGTATGACTATTTTTGGATTCTTGTTAGCCAACATCACTTTGTTGATTGAGTAGAACCTATCTACAATTCAACTCGTAGTCCTCAAGATATCGGACTATACCACTTCATTCCGAAGACTTTACCCTTCTTTCTACAGTTCATAATGCAAAGAAACAACCGCTCTGGTATTTCATTTCCTACATAACCCAATTACTCACTTCTTCTTAGATCCCCTCCCGCCTCTCACACTCTTCTTCTTCCCTTTTGCAATCTCCGCGCCTCGCCTCCCTCCCGCAATCATCACTCGTACTTTACTAACAGGCACCACACCCACAACCTCCGTCTCCTTCCACCCACGAATCAGATCGATCTCCTTTGGCCAGATGCGCTCGACATCCTGGCTATTCTTATCAACAATCTTGGCATCTTTACCCGCATTATCCCAGATGGCCAACACCTCTTTGACAGCTTTGCCGCGCTTGGTGGATCCAGGCTGCATTTTGGCCTTGTATTTGTAAGTCGAGAGGGCGGACCAAGGAGCACAGACTGGGATCGCTGAGATCAGCTCGTCGTTTGGTAGCGGGCGGCCAGTGAATGCATCGAGATTTTGCAGGTTTGTTTTTAGGACTTCGTCGCCTTCGTCATCGTCTTCTGCATTTTCTAGTGCACGGAGTCGGGCCTCTTCGGCAGCTTTACCCGCAGCTTGAGCACGAAGATGTTGTTCGCGTCGGCGTTGCTTGTCGGCTTGTGCTTGCTCTTCCTTTTGACGCTTCTCTTGTGCTGCGGCTTCCGCAGCTTGCTGGCCAGACTTGGAACCTAAAAGCCGCATGGCCAATTCACGATCTTCCTCGTCTTGCGCTGCATATTTAGCTGCCTGCTTTTTCGCCTTTGCACGCTTCCCACGTGGGAGGGGGGTATTCTTTTGCTTGTTCATCTGCGATGTAACAGTTCCATCCACCTTTGTAGGCGCTTTAGCGCTACCACCTTCTCCGGAATCACCTTCATCTTGATCAGCTCCATCAACTACAGGCACCGTATCAGACGGCACTTGAGGCAGCTCTGGAAGCTGGCCCTTCCTCGCTAGGCGGCGCTCTCTTGCAGATAGTTTTCCGCGTCCCGTAGACTTTGATATCGGCTCAGTATCAGCTATTGAGCCTTCATCTTCTGGTGGTTCTTCCTTCGCAATAACGCCATTCTTTTCCCCAGATTTTGTATGCTCAGCACCTCCTTTAACAACTACAGGCTCGTCCTCATCGCCAGAGTCTTCTTTATCATTTCTTGCGGAAGACTGAAGAGGATTACTTCTTGGAGCTGCAGCTTCGGACTCGGCATCACTCTCTTCAGTGTGTTCCATCTTCGCATCTGGGAAATCGTCTTCAGAGTCGGAATTAATCTTTGCGTCCGGAAACTCGTCATCATCGCTCTCATCAGTCTTAGTAGCTGCTGCTTCTTTGGACTCGTTCGCTGGCTCATCAGCCATTTCGGCAGCAGAAACTGCAGTCTCCTGCACCCGATGCTTGTGATGGTTCGCCTTGCTTGAATCGCTGATTTCAAACATGACTGCAAGCCCAACCACAAGTTGAGCTGGGGGTAAAAACTCTTTCTTTCCCTTGATATTGAATATGCCGGCAGGGAGAAATTCACCCGTCTGTCCAGTTTTGCTGACTTGATCACTACGGACCCACCATGCCGACATGACCGCCTTCGAGTCCCATGCGTCAGATGTACATATACTGAGGTTTCCGGCTTGTGATAAGGTCGATGGTGGAATAGGAGCATCCGGCGTGTCTGCTTTATTCTTGATAATCATAGGCATGGCGCCTTTGAGATCTGCATGCACATACACATCTCCCTTTCGCAGAAAACGACGGTATATGATCTCATTCTGCTGTGCATCCTTGCCTCCGAGAACCAGATAGCCATCTGACGAGATAAAATATATGAACTTTTCGAACCAATGCTGTTTGCGCACCGGCCGCAGCACTTCCTTCTCTTGCTTCAGTCCCTTCTTTAGATCTTCGGCCACTTTTTTCTCGTGGCTTTTCAGCGCTTTTGTGGATGCTTGAAGGGTACGGCCTTCTTTGTCGGCAGCCGTCTTCTTTTGGTCGAAATACTCGGTAGAGTTGGCCCAGGCGCTTAAACCGAGATCAATATCGATAGCTAGTTGCGGTCGTGCCACTGGTTTTGATGGAGAAGCCTTTCTAGGGCGGTCGTCCTCGTCGTCAGTATCCTCACTCACAGAGCTCGTCTCATTGCCCTCGTCTTCCTCTTCTCCACCTTCTTCCCAATTTGTTTCGTTGAGAAGTAGGGTGATCGTATTCTCATGTAACTTAAGCGGTAGTCTGATCAACTGCGCCACGGCGTTGCCAGAGTTTTGCTCGCGTTCAATTAAGCGCTCAATATCGACCCAATCCATGCCCTGCCTGATCAACCCATTTACAGCTTCAGTGGCTTCGGTCACGCGATGGACATTTGCCAAGATCGCTTCTGCTTTGCGAAAGTTCAATTCTTGCACTTGTTGTAGTCCACCGATGCGATCCTCGTGTTCTTTGCGCGCTTTCTCTAGCTTTTTCTTGGCTTGCTGTTCGCGTTCTGTCAGTTTCGACTCAAGTTTTTGCCCTTCTATTGACGAAAAGAACTCGTCTACCGCCTTGTTGAAACCATCGAACTCCAGGAAAGTATAGTCGGTGTTCTCAAATTGCTGTGGTCGGAAAGGATGGAAATCATCGTAGAGAAGACGCGGTTTATCAGAAGACTCGTTGTCGGGCTTTGAGGCTGAGGGATTGGGCTTTGCGAGAATATAGCCCTTGATCTGGTCGGTCTTTGTGATTTCATCTGTAATTTTCCTTGCATCTTGTAGCACATCAACTAGCTTTTCGACGAGCCCATCATCAGCAAGAACCTCCTCCGGTTTCAAGGACGAGTCATAGCTAGCAATATGAAGCGCATGATCGACCAGTAAAGGAGGGCATTCTGTGATGGAGACAGCGAGAGCTTTTCTTAGAGAATCCTTTCCTGCTTTCTTTGCCTTCTTTCCTGCTGCAACCGGCTGATCCTGTTGTTTGTCGACCGCCTTCTGTAGTGCTTGACGTACTCTCTCCTTCGTGAGTTCTGGGGCGCCGCCGTAATTTTGTCGCAGAGTGAGATTGTACTTCAAGCCGACTCTGAGCTT